AAATTATTTATGCCTCTGTACTTAGTGATTGCCTTAATACATTGCTATGAGTATGATGTAAATTAAGTATACCGATAAATAAAAATCAGAATTTTTACCTAGCATTGATTGAATAAATTACTGTCATCACAAGTGAAGATTCTAAACTACGGATGATTAGTTTGCTATTGCATTCTTTAATTTTCGTGATGCATTACCATAAAAATTAATCAAATTAAAATATTAATGTATACTTGATAGTTTGATTTTAAAAGTAAAAGCATGGATTCATGTCTTTAGTATATATACATTTTTAAATTTTGATCTTGTTATGTTACATTGTTAGGAATTGTCAGAGGGCCAACTCGCACACTTGTGTAGGCTGGAACAAGGCAGTTGGGTTGTCATTCTTTCATTAAATTTTGTCACATTAAAGGAATTAGTAATCTTTCATTAAATGCTGGAAAGTAGGGTTAAAATTTATGTATTATTTTTTATATTTTTTATTAATTAACTTTTATTATTATTAATTGAATTAATAATTATTATTATGATTGAACTCAACCCCCTTGTTTCTTTTATTTTTTGACAACCCTACTTTTTCTTATTTATAAAAATTTTTTTATTTACTTGTTTCCATACTTTTTATTCAATTTGTTAATTATTGTTATATTTATATCAGTATTATGTTTATTGATACTAATTAACTAGGTTTAAAAATTCATTACAGAATATTTAATAAAACTTCTGCAAGATATTAATTTTTGGCCATTTGTGGATACACAAAATAAACATACCACATCTAGAAACTTGAAAATTTGAAATAATAATGAAATTCATAGCTAATAACTAATTACTTATGTGACATAATATCCTGTTTTGGTTAATAATCTTTAATAACCATGCCTGATTTCCTGCTCAACTGCACTTTGTCACTGAGCAGTACAGCCCTTTAAAGTTTAGACCTTAGTCAATTTGCAATCAGGCATCAGACTACATTTCAATATTTGTTATTCGTACTTTGCAAGCAAAAAGTCAGTTTATCTAACCTCTTTGCATCTTTTTCATAGTATGAGTAGATCACCAAGCCCAGATCCGGATAGGAGAGAGGAAGATCCCATTCTGCCTCCTGGAGGAGATCCGCCAATCCCTCCTGGAGGAGCTCCAGCAATCCCTCCTGGAGGAGCTCCGGCAATTTCTCCTGGGTCTCCAGCAATCCCTCCTGGAGGGGGTCTGCCAGTCCCTCTAGGTGCACCCGTAATCTCTCCTGGAGTGGCTCAGGGAGTTCCTCTTGGAGGTGCACCCGTTGTCCCTCCTGGAGGGGCTCCAGCAGTCCCTCCTGCAGGTGCACCTGTAGTCCCTTCTGCAGGGGCTCCAGCAGTCCCTCCTGCCCCAGCACTGCCTTTGCTGCACCAGCAAAGGCAGCTCATTATTGCCCAATTGAGGGCTGTCAATAGACAAATTGTAAGTCTTTACTATGATGTACTAAATTATATTCCATAATTGTATCTCAATCTACCAAGAAGACCTGGCAGGGGGCAGGGGTAGGGGAAGGAGGCCAAGACCCCAAGTGGGAACACAAAATTATAACTTTTACTAACTACATGTATCATAACTTTATTATAATAATAGATGTACACATAATAATAAAATAATCAAAATGTCAATAAAAAATGCACCAGCGTTAAGCCAAGATTAAAATACATTAGCAATGCACAGTGTTTGACAAGACAAAAATGCTCCAATGCTTTCGTTTCTATTAATATTCCTAGAAGAAAAATACATATTGTTATCATAATGTATGATTTAATAAAAAAAAATACCTAAGTAGCCATTAACGTGGACATATTGATTACGTACATGAACATGCAGTGTTGTCATTCATAATCTACAAAAAAATGAAGACAAACATCTTTTAATTTGCTTACTAATTCTATACTGAATTAAGATTTTTTATGAGACTTGCATTAAGCAAATTCATATAAATATAGAACACATGAATACTTTTCAATGTGCAAACAATTGTTGCTTGTTAATGAGAACATAAATGCACATAATATTATTATAATAAACTAACAATCATCAACGAAACATACGCTGGCAAACAATAACTTATAGTGAGAGTACTTACTGTGGCCATGCTTATAATGACATACCCATCAAACGAATATAGATGTAACCTTGAATCATACCCTATAACAAAATACATAAGATACTTTGGAATCTCACAATATTTAATCTTACTACATATTCCATTCCTTAGACTACAGTAATGTAAAACCTATGCAGGCACCTTCTGCAGTGTGATAAAAGTACTCATCAAGGACCTACAGTAAAACATTAAGCTCCATTTAATAATGAAATAAATTTAGTACAACAATCGAAATCCAGAACTGCCTTTAATTATTATTGCACATTACAATATCAAGCAATTATAATATTGCTGAATTATCAAATCCTTTCCAGCTGTCATTACCTGTAAAGCATAGTAACATAAACACATCATATGCAAGCAATGTAAACACACAGGCTAATAATAACAA